TATTTAATTAATTAAAATATTAAAAAGGAAAACAAAAAAAAAAACACACACACACACACACACGAAACGTCACCTTCTCCGGTAAAAAAGGCGAGAAAGGCGAGAAACTGCCTTCTCACCGGAGAAGGCAACCCAGGTAGAAAGCTACCTGGGTCGCCTTCTTCGGTGAGAAAGCGACCCACTGGGCTGCCTTCTCACTGGAGAAAGCAGCCCAGTTGCCTTCTCCGGTGAGAAGGCAGCCCTCGCCTTCTCACCGGAGAAAGTGACAGGAATTTTATTATTATTATTTTTTAAACTTTGTTGCCTTCTCCGATGAGAAGGCAGCCCAGTGGGTAGCGGTGAGAAGGCTGCCTTCTCATCACCGGAGAAAGTGACGGGTGGGTTCATCTTCTTTCTTTCTTTCTTTCTTTTTTTTTTTTTTTTTTTTTTTTTTTTTTTTATAATTAATATTTTGATGGTAAAAGAAATGAATAATAAATATTAATATTTGACCACATTTAATGATGGTGGACTTTTCTGTTTGCACCACCTATAAAATTATTATACCTATTAAATAGGGTGGTGTAAATAGCAAATTGGATGGTGCAAATAGAATTACCCTATGTAATTTGGTCAGGTGGTATTTTCAATTTTAGTCAATATGGTCTCCAACTATTTTACCATGTTGTAAATTTAGTCACTCAAGGTATAAAGAATTAATTTAGTCCCTCAAAATTTTTAAGTTGAAGCTAATATAAGTAAACAATTGGTAGAATATTGATTATTTGAAACTTTGAGGGACTAGATTTACAACACAATAAAACAGTTGAGAATCATTATGATTAAAATTAAAAATAATAGACTAAATTGCATAATAGCCAACAATTGAGTAACCAAAAGTGTGACTGTACATTCTGTACTATGCCTAACAACAACAACAACAATTCATACTATGCATAAAACAATATTTTCAACTCTACAATACTAAAATATTTTTTAAAGCTTTCAATAGACATGTCTAAACATATAAATTCAACACCCACCACTTATCATCTTATTATGTTTTTCAAAAAATAATATTTAAATTATTTACACATAATAAAAAAATAAAACCCATTAGTGATACTAAAACATAAATAATGGAAATATTTAAATATAATAACTAAATTGTTAATTTTTAAAAATAAACTTAGTAGTTTTGATATAAAAAACAGTAAAAAGATACAGGAAGTTATATAAACTTTTATAAATAACTACATACCAGTACTTATTTTACTATTATATATATATACCATGGTTGCAGTAGGCGCTAGGCGCTAGTCGGGCGGTCGGGCAGTGCCTAGCGCCTAGGCGGTCTAGGCGGCGCTAGGCGGACACCAAAAAAATTTTAAAAAATAGTGACAGACTTGTAGTTCGACAATTTTAGTGAGGTTGTTTTCAACGTTCACTTAAATAACACATCTAAATAAATGAAATAATGATAATTTATTTTTATTTTTATTTTTATTATTATCAACGGGTTAATTTTGCTTTTTTATTTTTTAAATTCACTTTTATATTTTAAATGTTTATCTAAATGTAATCATTTGCTACGAAATTTACAATTCATTAAAATAAACATTTTTTACTCAACTCCTCAACATAAATAATTTCACACGCTACCAAAAAATATTTTAAAATATAATAAAAATTATTTCAGGCAAATTTATATTTTTTTACCAAAATAAGCTTTCCCTTGTAATTCTCAATTTAGTAAAATAATAAAGGAGAAATTACAATAATTCTATATAAAATGCTTTAAATTTTTTTGACATTTTAATGGCGCTCTCTGAATTATTCCATAAAAAGATTGAATTAAAATATTAACAATTTGATGCTTAACGAACAATCATGACGTCGATAAGTTATACTAAATTTGAAATATACATTCACTTAGTAAAATAATTATGGTGTTATTTGGTTTGAGATTTTTGTACTTGATTACCGTATATGATTTGATATCCATTATCATATTTGTTTGCTTACTAGTCAACCCTAGAAAAATAAAAGGTCAAAAACTGTTGAACTCATCTCCCGGTAGGAGTGAGTAATGATCCGTCAAATTTGTTCTCATCCCATCCACATCCACTTAAAGTGGATGGTATGTCGTTCTATTTAAGAAAATTTGTCATTGGTGGATTTGACGTGGATGTGATATCTCAAAATCCACTATATCCAGTCCGCTATATATATAAAAGATGGTTTAGGTAAGAATATGCTCTGATGTAAAAAGTGATAATGGATAATATGATTCATCATTTGGATAGATCAATAGTTGAGTAGTTGAGTATTGTAAGGGGAAAAGGTTGAGTTTATTTTCTAAATATGATAAATCGATCTAAAAGTTTGCAATAATTATAAAATTGATCTCATGCTTTTTTTACTAAATCCTCAACCATTGATAAACCATGGTAGGCGGTTAAGATCAATCCTCATTTTTTACCGAAGAACTATATTTTCATTTAACCGTACTTCACTATGTGTGTGTGAATATAGGGACCTTTTTTTATACGCTGACTTGAGCCTATAAAATGATAAGACTAGCCATGCTAGTTTTGAAGCCTTACTAAAAGCTTAATTAGTACCCCTACAGTGCTCTTTATCTAGACTATTTTTTTTAATCAAACTCTTGCTTTGGTTGTTGAATACGCTCTCATTGTGCCACTTCCACAACTACCAAATCAAAATTGTGAAAAAATGTCATAAAATCCCCTATTATATTGTAGGATCTCTTCTCGAAAATGTTAAACATAATCCAATTTTAAAAATTTGATAATTAGAGCACATTAAACATGTTAGATTAGGGATGACAATGGGTCGGGTGTGGGTCGGGGAGGGCTACATCCATCACCTGACCCACCTTATATTTTCTCCACCCACCCCCACCTCCAACCCACATCGGGTGGACTTTTTCAGAACCCACCCCCACCCCACCCCATCGGGTGCGGGTGCCTACTACGGGTACATTTACTATATAAATATTCAACAATAGGTATAGAGGTTTTGTAATTATCAACAAATTAAACTTAGGAAATATTGGTGTCCATACGATTGTCCGGGTTATATTATAACTAAGCTTGATGTAGAATTTTTGAGTGTATATTCGCAACTGTGATCTATTGTGTAGAACGTAACTGGCGTGGAAATAATGCATCCTTTTTTTTTTTTTTTTAGTACTATTGGCTCTATACTGAATTATATGTCTATAATTATAAAGCTATATATTCACAATTATTGAACTATATATTCACAATTACAGAACTCTATGTTCATAATTACTAAAATATATGTTCATAATTATAAAGCTATATATTCTTAATTTTTGAACTTCATATTCACAATTATTGAATCTCTATGTTCATAATTACAGAACTATACGTTTATAATTATGTTCACAACTTTATGTTCATAATTATAGAACTATATGTTTAAAATTTTTGAACTAATTCATAATTATGAACAGTTTTGGAACCGTGGACACGGTTCCACAACATAATTTGCCCAAGGCAGTCATACAATAGTTATTGCGTGGGCCGTGGTCCACACAACACAATTGTGTGAAACGACATCGTTTTGAGTATATATTTTTTTCACACGACTTGCTGCAACATAAATTTTTATAATTCATAATGTACATTACTCTAAAGCATAATGTATGTTATTCTAACTCATAAAGTACATTATTTAATCCCAAAAGTTTCATTATTCTAATACACAATGTATGTTATTCTAACACAAAATACATTATTTTAACATATAATGTACATTACTCAAACACATAAAGTAAATTATTCTAACTCATAATATACATTATTCTAAATTTCTAATTCATAAAATTCAACAGCGTCGTTTGAACCGTGATTCACACAATAATTTGCCGATAGTCATAGTATCAAACTGCCAACGACATAACCCATTGGATCAAGCGTGTATTATATTTTTTATTTTAAGAAAATAACTACTCTTTAACATGTTGAGACCTATTTACAATTAAACAGAAAGGATAATTTTGATTAGAATAATGTTCTTTATATATTTTAGTATTTAAAATCAAATCAATTTATTTTAGCTTTCTATAACTTTCTATTGTAATTTTTAAATATATCATATTAAATTTATAATGTGATATAAAACACATTTTTTTTTTGAAAACCGATATAAAACACATTGAATAACAATAATTACTAAAAACAAAAACGAAAGAAAACAAAAAGGAGTACAGTAATAAATTGAATCTGTAAAACGATGTGGTAATTAACTGGCATCCTTAATTAATTCCTGGTTTTCTTCAAAAAGCTGACGTGGGTCTTCTATACAACACAAACACTTGCACGAGATGGGTGTGTATACATATGAGAAAGTTATGGCGTTAATTATATATTGGTGTAATCAATCTTTATTACTTTAGTACAAAAAGATATTAGTGTCTATTGATACCTTAGAAACTACGTACCAGGTGTCGAGGTGGTATGACCCACTGAATTTAATTAATTGTTAAAATTGTTTCAATACAAAATGATATAATATTAGTGTTAATTAATAGTTTAGGTGTCGATGCGGTAGGACCCATCAAATGTAATTAAATATTATTATATTACTTGATTTGATACGTAGAGAAAGATATTAGTGTTAATTGATACTTTAGAAATTACCAGGTGTCGAGGGTAGGACCCACCAAGTTTGCATGCATGGTAAATTACCAAAACCCCTAAATCTCAGCCCAATTCTCTCTCTCTCTCTCTCATAATTTAACGTTAAATTCATAGATTCCCTCGTCAGTCGTCACAAATGTCAGATGGATCGGCGTACTTGCTTGAACCCCACTGTTTATATCTAATCAGAACATCCACATTTTCTTCATTATTTCTGCCATCTTTTCTTTGGTTTCATGGACTTTCCAGCTATATATATATATAGCCTTCTTAAATTAGTATATATATATTCTTTGTGATCGATTTCTGATCAAAGCAAGCAAGCAAGAAAGCAGTTGGGTGTGGGGAGATGGGACACCATAATTGCTGCAACAAACAGAAAGTGAAGAGGGGGCTTTGGTCACCTGAGGAAGATGAGAAACTCATCAACTATATCTCCAACTATGGCCATGGCTGTTGGAGCTCCCTTCCTAAACTTGCTGGTATGTATATATATATTTTATTTTATTATATTTTCTTCACCCCCGCCCTTAATCATTACTCCGATCCATATTTCTGTGCCTTATTTTGGGTGACGAGGGAAACCCACTGGGCACTGGGTAAACCTTGTCTTATGAATTTCGATCTGTAACTTATTGTCCTGCAAGTATAGATCTTATGAGTTTTAATGGTGGCAGGGTTGCAGAGGTGTGGGAAAAGCTGCAGATTGAGATGGATAAATTACCTGAGACCAGACTTGAAACGTGGGAGTTTTTCTCCTCAGGAAGCTGCGCTTATCATTGAACTCCATAGGATTCTGGGCAACAGGTACCTCGTACCTAGCTAGTTCTTATAGCTAGTTCTTAGTAGTTTTTATATATTTGGATTTTGGAATGGAAATTGCAGGTGGGCACAGATAGCGAAGCATCTACCAGGAAGAACAGACAATGAAGTGAAGAATTTCTGGAACTCAAGCATCAAGAAGAAGCTCATCTCTAATGGCCGCCTCTCTCATCTACCCTCATCACCTGCACCAAACCCTAATTTCCAAACTTTCTATTCACTGCAGCTTCCTAGTAGCAGTAATATTCCTAATTTCATCCAAAACAACAATAATAATGTTATTCTTAATCTCCCCTCTCCTCCAATGGCGCAACAACTACAAGCAGATCTAGATCAGATGAACAGTTTGGTATTTCCAGTTATGCCCTCGGTTCCATTATCGTCGCCGCAGATGATGATGATGGAGACAACCTCAATTGATCCGACATGGTTTCTGGGATACCCGCAACCTCAAAACCTCATGGATCATTATCCTCAAACTTCCTTGTACAACAATAATTTCGATAATGAATTAATGGTCCCTCTTCTTCATCATCATCATAATGATGAACCCATTATAATCCCAAACCTTCCTGGGAATCTCGTTTTGTCTTCTTCATCTTCTTCATTATCTTCTGGTATTGCACAGCAAGATGAGTTCATCGTCCCTAACCCCATTATCCCATCTCTCCCCGCCTATGAAATCATGCTGCCACCAATGCCGTCATTGTCGCCATCTTCTTCTTCTTCGTCGTCGTTTTCTGCAGTTCCATGTAGCCAACTCGTCATGAATCCTTCAACCTGGGTTCCTTAATTCAGACATGGCGGAATATGTATGTATATGTGCTTCCATTTCATCCATGTTTTATATATATGTATATGTAAACTATATACATACATTTGTCAAATCCTTAGCTTGGGTGAAATTAAAGTTTGCTTCTTTGAGAAATATATATATGTAGCTAGCTTGGGTTGTGTGTAAGTAGTATGTAGTTCTGGAGAATGAATGTTGCAGCTACTTTAATGTGTTCAGTACTTATAATATCCTTCATCTAATATATAATAATGTGGGTTGTTTAATTTGTCCTTGTGGATTGTATATATATGTCAATAAATATAATTACCCTTCTCTATATCTCAATCTCTTTGACCAGATCAGAGTTCACATAATTAAGAAATGATTTGATTATGAGTCTTGTAGTCATAAGTTGCATATATATATATATATATATATATATATATATATATATATATATATATATATATATATATATATATGCAATCATTGTTGATTCCATATAGTTTTAATTTGTTAGCCAGTAATGCTAGCTTTTACACTAAAATTTTGCGGGTCTACCTGAAAGGGTTTAGCCATTAGCACACATTTTTTCAATTGATCGAGTCTACTGAACAAAGTGTTGCAAAAATCGCGCCTAAGCGTTCTAGATGCTTATTAATCGCTCTAGGCGCCCTAGGCAATCTCCAGACGCCTAGAGGGTTTGGATCGATCAGTGGATCAATTAAAAAGGGGGAAAAAAAGTTTTTGTTAAGTTAATTGAACGAATACATTAAAGCATGCATGAATGAGAGATGTTAGATTTTTAGAGTATTTTCGTAGGTAGATGAGAATTGATTTTGAGAAAGTGGGTATTGCAACAATGGAATGATTGTGCTTTTCCATTCCTTTTCTTTGTTAACGTACGTAATGATTACTACGATCGATCGCTACTGTCTACTGTAAAGCAAGCGTAACCCTAATTAAGAGTGAGGATGTTTTTGGTCATTTGTTGTTGTCGGATTCTTCACTTCGTTCTAGGGTTTGGTTCAATCACCCATCAGCCGATCCATTACCTATCTTAATTTATTTTTTGATGAATGAGGGGAAAAGGAAACAAAAGAAAATAAAAAGCAAGAAAGAAACGTGAAAAGAAAAGGGAAATAATAGAAAGAAAAGGGATGGAAAGGAAAACAAGAAACCTACGGCAGATCGAATGAAATTAAATAAAAGGAAAAAAAAAATTGAAAAGAGAAAAGAAAGAAGCGACGGACGGCTGGGAGGATCGGAGAGGCATGCAGTTCGCGGAGAAGATCGGAGTTCTTCGTCAGCATATTCCGATCCGGCCGGACAGTCTTTTCTCTCATAGTTTATTGTCAATTTCTTAATTATGACTTATGAGTAGCGCGGGTCCTTGATTATTCCAACTTCAAGTTAGAATTCTATAATTTAATTTGTGAGACTTTTGGCTTAATTATTTATTTGTTATAGTATTCTATATTGTTTCGTTGTAATTTAATTTCTAATGAATTCATAAGTTTAATTAATTTAGATGCATACTTATTATATATGATTCCATACTCGTTTGACTGGGATTTCATACATGTAGTAACTAGGTGTTTATGAACCATCTAAGAAAATATAAATACAAATTGAATATTTGTTCGTTCAGGGAATGTTATTTGTATTGGATAAGAATTCACAAATCTAGTTTAATGCAATTGAACCTTGAATCCTAGGTGTTTGTCATAGGGTTAGGTTGCTTACTTAGGCTATCAATTAGGCTTAATTGGCGACGCTTGTCACTATTAAGCAGTAGTTTAGGTGTGAATTAAGGGTTAATACGCGTTCGCGGTTAATCTACGCCAACTATTATGATCTTTGGTGTCAATAATCATGTCAAATCAATTAGAGTTAATACTTACTTTGAAAGACATGCTTACTTCCTGGTCTCATTACGAAATAAGCTTACTGGTCTCCTTGTATATAGACTTCTCGACCTTGCCCACCGGAATCCGATCGAGATATGAACATCAAAACAAATTAAAGCCAACCAAATCCGAGCACAACCGATCTCTTCCATAACTAAATAATGATCACCAAGCGTCCACCACGTGATGTCAAAACTCTAAAGACACGTGGAGGGCATGCCGAGCACCCGGCATGCAATGTGTCCTCTCTTTCCCTCTATATATAGGACATTTATTGCACTTTAAGAGTGACTTTTGGGCTCTCAACCTACATCACGTCATCACCGCACTCGAAGCCGACCTCCCGACCTCACATGATCCGACCCTTACTTATCTCTCAGTCACACCGATCACATCCATTTATCTTTATGGCCATAGCTTTTGACTCTCACTTAATTTTCCAGTTACATTCAATCCAACCTAAATCATTTATAATTGAATTCCCAATCACATTCAACCCAACCTGAAATAATTTATTCTAGGAAAAATAGTGCTTTTGGCCCCTCGATTGTTTTACTTTTGGAAATTTAGTCCCTGTTAATTGATTTGAACAAACTTAATCCTTTAATTGTTCACAATATGTCATATTTGGTCCCTAATGTTATATAATTAGAATTTTTTTTTAATAATTTTTTTTCATGATGTTATATTTGTCCATTTCTTTCAATCATTTATATCACACAGATGATTTTCTAAATCCGTCTCTTGTCTCACGAATAATGATTCGTGAGGCGTTCTCACACAAATTTTTGCCATATATATAATGAAAATTTAAACGTATTTGAGCCTTATCACTTTTAAGATTAATATAAAGTTCCAAATTAAACATACGAAAATAATTTTAAAATTAAAGTACAAAGAAGCAAATTGTTTTCCTCCGATTTGGTTGTTATATTGTGGGTGGAAAATATGCAATGTCATCCAGAATAATTATCTGATCTCCGTATAAATATGATTATGGATTCTCCCATGAAAATCCCAAATATATCCTGCAAAAATGATAAAGGTGTCGTTAAGAAGGAGAAGAAAGTTGAATGGTTGAAAGAAATGGATAAATATAATATCATGAAAAAAAAATTATTAAAAAAATTCTAATTATATAACATTAGGGACTAAATGTGGCATATTGTGAATAATTAAAGAATTAAGTTTGCTCATCAAATTAATTAATAGGGGCTAAATTTCTAAAAGTAAAACAATTGAAGGACCAAAAGCGCCGTTTTCCCTTTATTCTATCAAATGACGCCGTTTCTAATCTATGGTATAAGGATTGTTTTATTTTTAATTTCGTGATTAATTATCATGTTTATCAGTTATGAAAGCGTATATTCATGTAACAATATTGTAACACGACATCCAATTCCAATCACATGCAGCCATATTCCAATTAATTGATGCCACCATATATTTATCTTAATATTATATATTACATCTTAAGAGATTTTAATTAAATAAATATTTTGTAGAAACATTTGAGTTTTTTTCTTAAGAGATTTTAATTGATGCCACCATATATTCATCCAGCTCTTGACTGATAGGAATCTGCAGAATACGGTTAGCATCAAAATCATCAAAGGTCTTCGATCATTCCAGTTAATACCATCCATATTTATAAGAGAAGCTACATCATATCCCAATCATTTGCGTGGGGGCCGGGGTGGGATTGTGTTGATAAAAGCTAAGGTTGGTTATTATCCAATAACCAAGGTGAGTTCCAGATTTTGGTTGCTTTACCATTACCTATTCTGAATTCTGATCCCCAAACCTCCTTGTAGTATATATTTCTCTTCCAGCTAAAATGCTTCTCCAACTATAGCTTGAGAAGACTATCATCAGCAAAGAATAAATGATGAGTAATGGGAGGAGCATTTCTTGCAACTCGAATGCCTGCCATTAATATCTCCTTTAGTTTCAGTTGTGTGGAGTAATATGGAGAGCACCTCTGCATATAATATGAAGAGATAGGGTAAAAGGGGATCACCCTGTCTCAGTCCCCGAGTTGGAACAATAAAACCAGTCAGATTGCCATTGATTGAGACTTTATATCTAACTATGCTTACACATAACATCACAAGCTCGATCCATCGCTGCGGGAAAGCCAAGTATGGTCAACATATGTGTCTAAGAAATTTCCATTCCATATGGTCATATACTTTAGCCATGCCAAGTTTAAGGGTTGCCCAAGTATGGTCAACATATGTCTAAGAAATTTCCATCCATACGGTCATATGCTTTAGCCATGTCAAGTTTAAGGGCTACCCAACCAGTGCGACCTTGTGTTTTACGTTTTAACTAATGACCGGTTTCTGCAGCTACTAAAATATTATCATGATTAATCTATCTGCAATAAATGCACTTTGATTTTCAGATATTACCTCACCAATAAAATCTTTAATTGACATTACAAAGAGCAATAGGTGTATCACCTCACCAATAAAATCTTTAATTGACATTACAAAGAGCAATAGGTGTATCAGGGACAATTTTTCTGAAAATTATTTAACTTGTAATCAAAAGAAAATGATTATTTTCTTACTTTCAACTAAAGTATATATTTTCTTTTCGAATAAAATACATTTTTCAAAAATCATTTTTGTTATCACAGTTTTTTTTTTTTAATATAAAAAGAAACGGTTCCATTAACAAGTTTCAGAATACAGAATTTCAACAGTAAAAGAGGGAGGAGAAAAGAACTACTCCCTGCCATCAATCAAAAAAAAGGAAGAGATATAGACATTAAACAAAGCTAATAAAATATCTTTTAACATCTAATAATATTAAATCTAACTGGGAATCTTGTTTGGTCTCCTGCAGGCTGCAAGCCATAGATCTTGTTTAGTTGAGTCCCTTGGATTGAATATATCTTGAATAGCGTCATAATTCCATTTTTGTTCTTGGTTTATCATCAGGGAAGAGACAGTGGCATTCTCCATGAATGGATAGATAATTTATAATTCATCCAATTAAAAGAATTAATCAAAGACAGAAAAAAAAAAAAAAAAATTGAAGGATATAATTACTGATCATAGAATGCATTTCCATTCCCACTGTGGAGTGCCCAAAAAAAAAAACAAAATAATTTAAATTACAGGAAGCTAAAAATAGACATGCTTCATTCAAATGATCAACCAAATATCATTCATCAAATGTTAAGAGATTTTCCCAATCACCTGTAAATACATGATTTGGATCTAGAGAAGAGTGAAGACACCAATATGTATATACCTATGAAAATATCTTATGATCAGTAACTGGCAATACCTAACAACCCTGCAGAAGGAAAATTTGTCTACAATATAATATGCATCAAAGTATGCTAATTTCTACTCTTCCCCCAAAACTAATGAAATTATTAGGTTCTAAGGGAGGGAGTGTACAGTGAGTGGTACTTTCCTCATAAATCACATACTAATACATCTACCCAGTGGTTAGTCAAAACAAAGTTAAACTTCATCTCAATAACTAAAAGGTCTCACTTCCTATAAGGATGGAACCTTCCAGCTCCAGCTGCAGCGCCATTGTTTCCATATCCCCTGCCATTGCCACTGCCATGGCCCTTGGGTGCACCATACCCAGAAGCATTGCCAACGTTCCCATGGCTTTCGCTGCCATCATACCCAATGCCAACACCACTGCCATATCCTTTAGCACCACCATAATTACCAGGAGCCCCATAGTTGTCGCCTCCATATCCTGCAGCACCATACATAGCACCACCAAATCCAAATCCATACCCATATCCACCATAGCCACCATAAAATCCTGCAGAGCTCATGCCGTAATTCCCCATGTAGTGGCCATAAGCACCGTAGCTACCAAACCCACCATAACCGTTGCTCATTTTTCCACCATATCCACTACCATATTCTTCTGCAACATTGTTAAAATTGCCATACGGCTTCAAACTACTACCACCAGCACGAGACATTCTACTTTCACTTGGATGATCAATACCAGCTCTTTTTGGCTCAGCCCTCTTAATTTCAACCTGAGATGCCACATATTGAAGTGCATAATTCATTCCCTTTTCCCAAAAGACAGAAACTAGCGAAGTAAAAAGTACAAAGGCACTATTACTCACTTGTTTGCCACTAACTTCATGCATGCGTCCATCAGATAGAACCTTTTCAACAGCATCTTCATTATCAAAAGATACAAAGCCAAAGCCTCTGGGCCGACCAGTCTTGTGATCCATCATTATTTGGCATTCAACAATATTGCCATATGAAGAGAAATATTCCTTCAATCCACCTAAAATAATTCATGGTTCAATTTTGTAGCACTACATTTAACTTACAGAGAATTAACAATGATATGAATATATGCAATGTTTTTACCTTCAGTTAGAGAGATTGGAATACCACCAATAAATATTTTCTTTGTTTTTGAAACTCCTCTGAGTGGCATGTCCTCCCTAGGTACTGTCCTCTTTACTTCTACCTAACTCACAAATAAACAAGTACACAACCTATAAGAAGAGGGAAAGCTATAGAAAAGTGGGGGAATGCCATACTGTAATTTTATCAAAGGTAAATCCTACCACTCGACCATCGATGACATGTTCTTCCTGCAAAACCTTACTCGCCACCTCTGCATCAACAAATGTAACAAATCCAAAACCCCGTGGTCTTCCAGAAACCTTATCCATCATTATTACAGAATCAACTATTTCTCCATACTTGCTGAAATACCTGCTAAAAGATTCTGGCAAGAAAAACACCAAATACAAATGAGACTTGGGAAAGGAAAATTTGTACTACATGACACATATAAGCTGATATATAATGCAGTTTGTGCAAGAAACAGTGAGAAAAATATGAAAACCATCTCAGAACAGAACAGATCAGATATATAATGACATGGACTATAATACCTTCAGACGTCTCCCAAGCAATGCCTCCAACAAACAGCTTTCTACCAAACAAGAAAAGCAACAGTTAATGTATAGTTCATCATTCCATCCTTGTATTTCTTTGCCATATACAACACCAACAAAAAAAATAATAATAATAAATTAAAAAAAAAAAATTAAAAAAAATAAACAAACAAACACACATACACACAGCAATCCCTCTCCTCAAGGAAAACACTTGGATTTGAAAAAGTTCAGAAAGGTGTATGACAATTCTTCTACAAGCCAATGCAAGAGGTTAAAAGCTATGGAGTACTTGGTAAAAATTTATAATTATTACTATTTTGATAAGTGGGATTAGAATTTAACATGCTGGAATAATAAGGTCTAAGAAAACTAGCTAACCCAGCTGAAGAAGAAGAAGAATCATTGACTGAATGCTTCAATTCTTGGCTTGCAGCAATATCATCCGCGCTGCAAATTGGCGGTGGCGGTGGTTCCGCATCTTCTCCACCTCCTGAATACAGCTCAGGTTGGTTTTCTTCCTCATACTGGAGTTCATCTTCCTCTTGGTCGTCGCCGTAAAAGGCGATGCCGGTTTGGTCGGCCGCCCCGTAATCCATCATGTCAGCCTTACTTTCTTTTTGTGCCTCTGCCTGCAAACGAATAAGAAATTACATTCAACTACAGCTATAAGTTCACATTCAACTTTTGTACATTATTACAGGCTTTTTTTTTTTTTTTTTGAACCCTAGAGAAAAAAATACATGGAACAAAAACAGGCGAAGTATGAGGGTTCTTACTCGCTAGGTTTTAGAGGAGACGTCGAGTGACAAGCGGCGGAGATAGTTTAGCAATTGCCGAAACCCTACCTCTTGTGCGGCGGAGATGGAGGATCGTCGCCGCCGCCCGCCAGAGAGAAAGAGTGTGTGAGTACCGAAAACGAGCAAATCAATAGCTGCGATTATTCGAAGCTGGCGGAAAGATGCTTTTGGAAATTTATCGGTAAGCTTTAAAGTGGTAAAAACACAACAATAAATTCTCACGACCCTAGAAAGTATTTGAAGGAAAATAGAATTAAAATTAAAAAAATAATAATAAAATAAATTTCATTATTTGAATGGTAAAAATAAAATTATTAAAAATATAAATTTTATTGTTTAAAATTAATTAAAAATTATTAAAATGACAACTCAGCTGTCACGTGAACATGTAATCTGTTAAAATTTATGATAACTTACTATTCAGTGAAATTATATATTTTTAGAGTGTTCAGTGATTTAATTATATTTTTTTTTTCGTTCAGTGAACTAATTACATTTTCAGGTTCGTTGGCCAATTTGTACATACCTTTAACTCTTACGATGTCTTCTCTTATAAGCCTTTTAATTTTTTTATTTATTTATTTATTTTTTTTTTTGAGAGAACTCATTGATCTCTCTCTAAGTATCTTGGTAAACTAGATTCGCCAAGATATCTATAATCATGTTTGATTATAGTACATATTATGTAAGGATATTTCACACTCTTTACTAAGTTAATGTAGGCATTCATAGATCATAGTACAGTTGAAGAGAAACAATTCAAACAAATCATCCCCTTCCATAGCAGGCACTTAATTATTTCAGTTGATCCGAGCTTTGTTCATGCTCCAAGCACTCAAACTAGAGATCCATATGTTCTCACTTCCATTGTTGAAGGCATACAGATGTGCCTCGCCATCGATTGCCATGCTTGGATAAACCCTAGACGTTATGCAAACTTTCCCCCCTTCCCCAAAGCTCTCCACAATTGATTGATCAATCTGCACAATTCACAGGACTCTGTTTACCCAATGCACATTATCGGATAGTGACTGCTGGTTTTCATTGTTACAAATGAAAACTATATTAAAAATGGAGTTGATGAATATAACTTACCAAACATCTTAGAGACAGTTTTTGTTTAAGAGGGTCAATGTCCAGAAAGGCTCCATATGTGGTTTTGTCATAGACAAGTTTAGTTGAAGACCTGTGTTTTTAAATGCCAAAAACCAGTTGGATGAAAGAATTGAAACATGTGCTCTATCAGCAAACTCATGATACTAAATTGAAGCACGTGTTCAATCTCAACTAAAATTTTAAGCTGATAGTTGGATTGCACATTAATGGTTATATGCTCATAAGAAAGAATGCAGTTAAGAAAGGGAGAAAAGAGAGATACCTGGTTTGGTCACTGCACATGAGAACTGAGAATTTATTTCCATCTTTGAAGATTCTAAAGAAAACTGCTGTGAATTCTTGAATATCCTTTGATGCAAGAACTAGCAACCCGAAAGGTCCTAGTTTTCCACTAACTGAGGCACCCTTTTGGCTACACAGCTCTTGTGGATTAGTACTCCCACCGGGCTTCGGCTTCACCACCTCTGCATTCTCCACTACGGTTGAGACATCGAAGGTAATTTCGACGTCTGCCTGGAGATCGGGAGAGCGAAAAGATCAAGAAAGGAAAGAAATAATGAAGTGAAGAAACAGTAATTATTAGTACCTACCTGTGATGCTGTGACACCAGAAACCTCAACAACTGATCCTGGTTTTAGGAGTGTAGTAGTACTAGGTTGTTGTCCAACTCGGTTCGTTCTTAGCTTCTCGATTTCCTCCACGGGCCATTGCACTAATTGTTTCCCAGATTCATCAAGCCAAATCTTCCTGGGAATTGCCTGAAATGGTTCAACAGAAACAAGAACAGGGAAAGTATTGATTAATTAACTCCCTTCAACAGAAACAAGAAATTAAAGCTCATTAATTACCTGAACACCAGCCCATCCTCTCAAGAGATCAATTGTTGAATTACCTGTGGATTCATTGACCCAACCCCACAAAACCCTTCTGTTCTTAGCACTGTCAAAGAATGTTTTCGAGGCGTAATACTTCCCATAATCATACCTTAACCCCCAACCATTCTCCAGAAACACTGCAGTCTCTGGTGTAAACCTATCTCTATTGTGATCATACATCCCAATGGTGTAATAATCATGCTTATAGTCATCCAAGCTTACCTTGAGCACAAACTTAACCCCCGCCCCCGCCCCCGGGCCAAGAACACCATTTTCACCATGAATGGAAACTGGATAAAAGTCAGGGCACTCCCACATTCCAGTGTTTTTCAGTGAAAACAATGGATGCTTGGCCTTTTGCCAATGAACAAAGTCCTGGCTCCTATACAAAAGAGCCATCCCCCGAACGTGCTTTCTCTCGTTCCCAACGAGGATTCGCCAGTGCCCATCGGGTCCTAACCATGCAGTGGTTGGGTCCCTGAATGAGCTAGCATTGAGCTTCTCCGGGGCTGCACTCATCACTGGATTATAAGGAGATTTAACCCACTCTTTCAGGTAAGGATCAGACATGTTTCTGGGCATTGCCAGATTCTGATATTGCTTAACCTGGAAATCTACTCCAGTATAGAGAATTGCTGGTTTTCCCCCTGGCAGAATCGTGGCAGAACCCGACCAACAACCGTTGATGTCGGACGGCTGAGATGGAACCAGCGCCGGCGGGTGCGGGTCCCAGTTGACGAGGTCTGTTGATGTCGAGTGAGCCCATACTATGTTTCCCCATATTGCACTTTTAGGATTGTACTGGTAAAACAAATGGTAAATCCCCTTATAAATCATGGGTCCTGCATTAATATATAGTTCCAGAAAATGCTTTAATTTAGCTGAGAAACTGAGACTTGGCTGTTAACATTACTGGAACAAAACAACACTCAACTCACCATTAGGATCTTTGCATAGCCATTGTCCGATTCGCCAGCAGAACAAGAAAAAAAATTGCAGTTTAGTTCATTAAAGTAGATGCAAAGTTATAATAATAATAATAATAAGATAAAAGCAGGAGTCTTTCTTGGTTTGAACTGATCAGCTATGGGCAATCTAAGCTCGTTTACCTTATTATGATCCTTTGTTGACTAGGATCACAAGACCCCTGAAGTTGGGTTTCCAAAAAAAAAAAAAAGATGCAAAGAGTGTATAAAGTACCATTCATCCAGTTCTTGGGAGGTTGGAAATGGTATGCAGTTCTGTAAGAGTGATTTGCAGACTGATGAGAAGCCTGAAGTGGAAGAAAGCCATTGGCAAGAACTGATAACATGAAACAAAGAATCCAAATGTTAGAGGATGCTGCCATGTTTTTGTTCTGCCAAATTTGGAGAAATGGAACAGACAAAAGGTTTGTGTTCTATCCAAGGAGCTTCGAGCTTCTTTATGTGTTACAACAATGGTTCAGAAACAGAGAAGCATTGGGAGATGATTGGAGTGAGTTACAAGAGTTTGCAATTGCAGTCAACTTTGATTTGAAAACAACTATGTTGTCGAATATATAATTTACTAACAAACAAACAGCTTATTGTAAATTACTTATCATATGCTTATTTTATTTTTTTTGTTTTCTTGAATTTTTTGGCTGTCTAAAACATGCACCTAGTCAACTAGCCATACTCTTAATTAATAAAATATTTTATTGAATATTTTTTTTTTTTGCAATAACAGTCAAATTGATCACGCCTATTGGTTTGGAAACCACAAGTTTCTAAGTCGACTCTTAGTGAGAGTGACTTATTGGGCTTCTTAGTTTGAATCGATTAGCTATGGACAACCAATGTTAGTTTACCTCATTGTGGTTCTTTGTCCACCAGGATCATAAGGTTACCCGGTGTACCCATCCTCAGGGTAGTGGCTACATGTTTCTCTTGTCAAGAAAAAAAAAAAAAACTTTTTTACGAAACATAAATATATCAACAATAACAAAAAGATAACCCCACAAGGTTCTAAGTCTAGTTCCCTGCAGTCTATTGGCGCTCTTGATTTGAGTTGATCATTTATGGACAACATAGACTGGTTTACCTCATTGTGGTCCTTTGCTAGCTAGGGTCACATTGTTCAATCCTTATGCTATGGACCCGTGTCCAGCAAGCATGCTGGACACGGGTAACAGTGCCGTTAGGCACTGTTATCTTCTTTTTTTCTTTTTCTTTTTTTTTTTTTTTAAAATTTCAGACCGCTTCGTTATATGAGTATATGTTCATAATTTTATTACTATATGTTCATAATTGTAAGTTCATAATGTCAGAGCTCTATGTTCATAATTCCATAACTGTACATTCATACTTCCATAACTGTACATTCATAATTCAATAACTGTAACTTCATAATTTTAGAGCTCTATGTTCATAATTTTATCACTATATGTTCATATTGTAAGTTCATAATGTCAGAACTCCGTGTTCATAATTTCATAACTGTACATTCATAATTGCATAATTGTACATTTATAATTCCGTAACTGTACATTCATAATGCAATAACTGTAAAATCATAATTTTCAAAGCTTGATGTTCTCAATTTTAGAGCTCTATGTTCATAATTTTATCACTATATGTTCATAATTGTAAGTTCATAATGTCAGAGCTATGTGTTCATAATTTTATAACTTACATTCATAATTCCATAACTGTACATTCATAATTCCATAACTGTACATTCATAATCACATAATTGTACATTCATAATGGCACAAACGAATAACGCCGTTAACGGCGAGACAAAATTAATTTTTTTTTAACTGAAATGACGCGTTTTTTCTGAAAACGACGTCGTTTTGAACTCGTGTCCACAATACATTGTGTTCATGAGTCCACTGCATAATTTGCCCACATTGTTGGCTCCATCCAAAACCATTTCATAAAAATTGAACTTTAGAAATTGACGTTTTTGTTGTTATTAACTATTGTTTTTGTTTGTGTGCTTCTTTTTAAATAATCATAACAACTTAAAAGGTACAAATCATGCGGTTGAATATTCGAACTCATTGTATATTTGTATGCAATACCCTTGGAAGAGGTATGACCAAAACTCAAGTAGGATAGTACAAATTATCTATATATCTATGTATATAAAAGCATTCTCAATGGATTTTTGGGTGGATTTTTGTTAGGTTTTTTGAGTGTGGAGAAATGAGACTTGAGAGTGGAGAAAAATATTGAGCACGTCAAAATTGTTACCAATCGGCGACTACCTTGATTTTATTTTTTATTTTTTATTTTTTATTTTTTTGTAAATTTTTTTTTTTCTCTTCTCTTCCACGAGACAAGAAAAAAAGAGTGTGATTTCTGTTCTCGGAGTTTTGCTTCCTTATGCTTCTACAACTAATTTGTTTCCTCTCTCTTTTTCTATTTTTTTTGTTGTTGAGTTGATTGATGACTTGAAAGGTGTTAGTAGCTAGGGAGTATTATTGAATTTTATCAAAATTAATAGACTTTAAATTCTACAAAAGTTGCTTTCAAAGACATGTTTTATGTAGGGTGTTAGCGAATAGAGCTTTCGGCAAACTACTCGTGTTCGTGTTTGGTAAGCGTTTGTTTATGTTCGTTTGTTAAGGTAAACGAACCATTAACAAACAAAATTTAGAGCTCGATCGATTGATAAACGAACAGAGCTTGAACAGTTGTATGCTCATTTGCTAAGAGATCGTGAACAAGCTCGTTTGATAATGTTCGTGAACAAGCTCGTTTGTGTTTGTTTAATAGTGTTCGTGAACAAGCTCGTTTAGTGTTCGTTTAATAATGTTCACGAACATGTTCACAAACATATATATACATAGATTATATTGTGATCATTAACGTTGATTATTTCTTGAACGTAGATTATTTATTGTTCACGAACGAATTGTGATCATGAACATGTGCAGGTGTTTGGTTATTAAAGGTTCACGAACGTGTTCATGAATGTAAACCAACATGTTCGTGAACGTGCTTGTTAACGAACATGTTTGTGGACGTGTTTGTTAACGTTAACGAACACGTTTCGCGAATGTTAACAAACACGTTCCCGAACATGTTCGTTAACATAAACGAACACCTTCGTGAACGTGTTCGCGAACGTTAACAAACACTAATGAACGCTTAACAAACGAACACGGACAGGATTTTCAAAAACCTTAACAAACGAACACGAACACTCTAAAATTCTTAACAAACGAACACGAACAACCTCCGTTCGTTTATGTTCGGTTCGTTAACCGCCCTAGTTTTATGGAGTATAATGACTTGCTATTGTAATATTCTTATATATTGCTATTAAATTATACATTTATCAATACCTTAATAATTCTATACATAAATTTTTAATTTATTTTTTTTTTTTGTTTTACAAATAAAATTAATGTATAAAAAAATATCATTAAAAAATGTAATTAAAATTTTTGAATGATACACATAGTGATTTTTTTAAATTTAAAAAAATAACCTATAATTAAATTAAATCAAATTCCATTCCATGTTCCTTAAATTACTATTATATGTTATTAAGTCACTACTCTTTTTTTTTGTTTGTTTGTTTAAGGATAAGTCACTACTTTTTATTTGTTAACAGATTACACATGTTTGTATTGAAATTTGGGAAGTAGCGTCTGATATTGTTTTTGATGTGAAATACGAGTAAATTAAGGTTTTTTTTTTTTTTTTTTTTTTTTATGTATTATTATCATGAAGTAGTATTTTCACTCGTACGTTGCACGAAATAGGTTCGTTATAATATTTTAAGAATATTTGAATCGATATACAAATATAAATTATAACAACGAATATTATATAGTGTAGTTGATGAAATGGGATGTATTGATTGTGTTTTCTAATGTTATCTTTTGCTTGAATTCGAACAAATAATTGTCCAATTACCCGTGCAATGTGCGTGCGATGCTCATGGATAAAAAATTTTTATTATATATTTAGATAATAAAATTAAAGATGAAATTATAAACAATATAATTATAATGGTGAACCAACCTCCGGGCCTATGAAAGCTTTGTCAGAGCAACTCCATCATTGTATAATATGGGAATAATGTCATCAATCAAAGTCATGTGGAAGAGAGAGAAGTAAGAAAGAGAAAAATGGGAAGCTTCTGCAAATGTGGAGAGAATTCTAAAATGCGGGGCCCACCTTTTTTTTTTGCCCATGCGTGGCTATCACCATTGCACCCAGCGGGCGTGTGCACTGCACGCTCCTGCTGGGCGCGTCTGACAGTAATTAAAGTATTAATTAAAAAAAAATCAATTTTCCTTTTCTTTTTTTTTTTCCTTTTTTCTCTCCCCTCCCATCTTCTCTTTCATAATCACTCTTATATTCTCCACCTATTCTCTCCAACTGATAATGATGCTCTCAGAGTATTCAACAATGGGGGAAATAGTGTCATCATAATCAAGAAACATGTATCATCAGACATGCTTATAGCTAGCAGATGGATGACTCAACTATTCCATCCAAAAAAATAAAACTTTTTTTTTAAAAAAAAATAGCATAAGGTCTGCTTATTAAATTGCGAAGTGAGGAAGCTAGGGAGTATATATGAATTTCGAGATCAGACTCACGATCCAAGACTTATTAGCATTGCCAAATTCGAAGGATCTTAGGGTTCGCAAGAATCCCCCCCTTGAATTCGAACAATGCATTGATCAAGCAGGGGCGGGGAATGACAATAAAACTCCCTGCTTCGCCGGGCAGCGACTTTGGCACCACGTGCGGAAACAATGACGGTTCCGGCACCGCCACCCTTATGACGTTGACGGCGGATATCGGGTCGGAAACCATCACATTCTGATTAGTCATTTTCGGGACGGAATAATTTTATTATTTTATTTGCAAAAAAAAATGTTATCATGCCTTCTAATTTATAATGATTGACATATAAAAATTTTCTACAGTATTTTATAACATTTTCAATCAAATATAGTTACATGATACGGAGTATTTTTATAATTTTTCAATTTTAATATTGTTGTATTGGATTAAGAATATGAATTTTAATGTAGAATTGTAGTATGAATAGGAAAGTCCAACGAGAGATCAGAATCCTAATTAGTTATTAATGTCTATCTATATTGAAATTAGATTCTTCAATTATGTGCTGCATTGTATTTTAATAGGATTTGTTTAAGATATTTTAGGTTTAAATATTTAATCATCAATCCTGTTTAACCCATCAAATTAAAATAAGTCGAATTTCACATATTAACGTCTTAAATTATACCATTTGTAAAATTAGAAATTTATATAAAAATGACCAGGGATCGAGTCTCACCAGCAACAGTGTGGGAGCAACCTCTCAAAGTGAGGGGGGCTCCGCGCAGTAAGCAAATGTCTAGTCTCTGTGGTTCATGTTAAGTTGAGTTACCATGATTTG